CCCCATGGCTCAGTCAAGTTGACACATAAAATTAATCATATTTTTTCTGATAATCAGTGTATATATAGTTAAGAGCAAGGGTTTGGAAGCAGTAGGCCTGAGTCTGAATCCTGTTCTGCTCCTAATTAAGAAATAACTTAATTATCACCATGCCTCAACTTCCCCTTTTCAAAATAAGGATACTAGTAGTTTGTGGTAAGCATTAAGGGAATGCATGGGGCACTCTCAGCAGTGTCCTAAGAGTTGTGGAGCTCTTTTTCCCAGTAGATCTTACACTCAGGCTTGAATGGAGTACATATGGGAGTGCATGCTTTGGGCTGAAAAGGGCAAAAGGATGACCAAATCACTCTTGTGAAAAGCAAACAATGTGGTAAGAAGGGGTGTGCCTATGCTCTCTTTGAAGATCCCTAGTATTGTGGGGAGTCTCAGGCTTTCACTTGGCCAGTTCATGGAGGCCCAATGCAATCACCATAATTCAGACTTGAACCCTAATCCCCACAGTTAACCATAGAGTGCCCCTCCTACCTTGCTTGTTCATCCTAGTTATCTATTGCTTAATAGTGCACAACCAAACATCCCCCAAACTTAGTAATATAGAACAGCAAGCATTGATTACAGCTCATTTATAGGACAGTTCCCTTGATCTGGCCCAGGCTCTGCTTTATGACTGGGCTCTCCAGTGCACCCACGTTCAGCTGGAAGGAGACTGGAGCTCCCTGGTATGAGATGGCCTCACTCACATGTCTAGAGGGTGGGAGGATGTCAGTTGGGTGGTAGGTGTGATGGGTTGTATGTTTTTCCTCATTTAATAGGCTACCCCTGGCTTGCCCATGTGGCACATAGGCATGGTGTCAAGAGAAAGAAGAGACGCCACAAGTCCTCTTGAGGACTAAGCTCATCATTTCTACCACAGTCATTCCATCAAAGCAAGCTGGAAGGCCAGCCAGAAGCAAGGGAGGGGGAAAGGCACTTCACCTCTTCAAGGAAGGAGCAAGAAAAATCACACTTTAAGGGCATGGACCCAAGAGAGCAGTGGGCTGGGGACATGTTGGCCACAAAATATACCCCTGAGTCCTGTCACTTGCCTCTCTTTGACCTTCATTAGAAAGTAGCTAGTTAAGTAGTCTTTATCTGCTCCTCAACCCTATAGTCATTTCCACTTCCGAGAGGTATATGGGTTATTCTAGAGGCAAGGAACTACAAAGCATTTTCAAGAAAGTGACCAAATGAAATGGACTTAGAAAAAGATTTTCCTAATGTTCAAGGGAGCATGCATGTTTGCCAGAGACCATCAGGAGGGCAGGAGAGAGGGGAGGGCACTCAAGGCAGTGGGAACAGAGCATACGAAGGCCCAGGGGTGTGAAAAGATGTGGTGTCATGAACAATTATAGGGCGCCTCCACTCATTGCTTATAATTAATTAGTGTTGCCTAATTTAGCAATGAAAAGTTTCTTCCCAAATGTTCCTCCAGAGAGTCCAGGACATTCATCTCCCTACTTAAAGGCCAAAATTAAGGCCATGGAGACACTGTTCAAAGGCTTTAATTTGTTCAAGCCAGTGCACATACATTTGTCCTCTAACCTTTCGTGAGGGCAGGGACGGGAGGGTAGTCAGCCTCGGACCTGGCCCAGTCACCTTCTCACTGTACACCTTTGGGCAAGCTGCTCTGAGACTCAGCTTTGACATCTGTGAAATACAGCAGTATCTGCTCATGGCTTCTTGTGAGGAGCAAAAGGATGAGGCAAGAGAAACCCCAGGCATAGCTCCTGGGCATGATCACTGCCCCATAACTGGCAGATGGCACTTCATCATCCTCCTTAGTCATGGAGAGCTAAGTTCCCTCATCCTACAGCTTCCCTCGGTACACCTGGGTTCTTCACAGGTGTCTGAAAAGAACTGACTATTCCAGGAAAGGCCTCATTGCACATTTCAGGTTTCAGAAAGGAGATCTTGACAGGGCTACTATTAAATCTGTGCTTCATCAAATTAGACATGGCACTGATTTTTAAACTTTCATTTAAATTTTTTTTAGCAAGAACCAAATAACAAGGCAAGTCAAATTTAATCAATATCCTCTGACGTTTCATTTTAACACATATATATGCATATATATACTTTATATATGTGTATATATGCATATGTGTGTCTATATACAAAGTATATTATGTACTTTATGTGTATAAAATACTTTATAGAGTATTTTGCTAATTTACTATATTTACTACTATTCTAAAAGTATATACATTTTATATAAGTATATATTTACATATATAATATATGGATATGTAATATAAAAATATAGAAGTGGATGAGTAAAAGCATAACAGTAGCTATAAGTAGAAGTACATATTTAAATATATACATTTAAAGTATATTTCAAAATAAAACTTGTATATATTTCATTATATATGGATAACATACATATAAGCACTTCCATGTTGTTTTTCAGAATTTTATTTTGCATTTTCTTCAGTACTTGGAAGAGGAAGGTAGTCCTGAAGGCCACACCCGTGATACACTCTCCCACCAAGTGAAAGCATAATTTAGCACCTTCTCGAAAATCTCAGATGTGATTGGTGGTTTGCTCAGAACTATAGTTGCATAGATCATTTACCACAGGGCACTTCTTCAGTAACTACCAAGTTTACTTGGACATAATATACAGATTTCATCTTGTTCCAAAGGGAATCTGGAGCCCAGGAGATACATAGCCTTAAAGGAGGCAGGAGTTACATTTTCCCATATAGAGAATAAAAATATACTGTGTGTATACATGTACTTTTTTAAATCCTTGGATGTGATGTTTGAAGGGCTGGCACAACAGATTTTCTTGTCCCCGAGGGGAGATCCCAAACAGGACGTTACGACTCAATACCGTAAAAATCAAAACTCCCTGGGACTGTGTGGCTGATGATCCCCTCAGCCCCATAACTTTCTGTACACCAGCCTGAACAGAGCCAGAGCGGACAAGTCAGCCCTCAGCCGTGTCCCTTTGGCAGGCCATGCTCTCATTTCTTCCAGCACATTTGGTAATGTGACCTGTGTAATCTCGTAGCTGCTTCTCAGACCATTAAAATAGACTTTTGAGGGTTGGAGCCAATACTTACAGATGACTTCTAGCATGGAATCTCCCACTTCTGGAATGCTGTTTGAGGTTAAAATATATCATGCTTATTAACTGCTTTGATTCTCTTGAATCTATCTATCTCTGGTTAACAAACTATCCTAAAACTTAGTGGTTCCAGAAAGAATGAGCATTTATTAGCTTGCAGTCCTGTAACCTGGGCAGGGGAGTCTGTCTCTGTGCTTATGCTACTGACAGGGGGAAGGGGGTGGAGGAGCAAGGATGGGAAGTCTTGGCTAGGCCTGGAGGGAGGTGGTTCCCTTTCACATTGCCCCACCCCACCCCCAGATGTTGGGGGTCTCAATAGAGGTTTCAGGTCTCTCTCTCCATAGTCTTGTGCATTCTTGAGCCAGTCCCTCTGATTGGAGCCTAGCACTAGTGGATGAACCTGAAAGCTGCCAAACCTCTAAGAAGTGGGGTATCATCTTTCTAGTGTCATTTTGGAGAGGTGAGGGGTTCAGAGAATAGGGTCCTGCGTTACCTCTGAAAAAATTTCACCACCGTTCCCCTTTCAGCGGGACACGTTGAGTATCCCCATGAGTATCCCCATGAGACTTTTGGTTATATCCAAAAAGAGGTTCATTATATTAAAAAAGGAAAGAAGCAGCAGCTTGCACAGAAAGAAGCAGGCAGGAAGAGCTGCTGCTGCTACTGCTTTGCAAAGGGAAAAGGTTTGTGAAAAGAAACACCTGCACTGTCACAGGAGAGCAGGAGAGCTGCCTCTTGCCAGTGCAGAAATTGCACTGATACGTGTTCTTCTTTTGGGGGAGGTGTTCATTCCTTGTGGCATAGTTATTTGTTGTTAAATTAATAACTTCTAGGGAGTGACTAGGTTGATTTATAAGGACCAGTGATTGTAATGGCCTCCATTTCCATATCCCCACCTATGGCCTGCAACTCCAGATAATTCCTGTAGCAGTCTGATACTCACTGCCTTAGGATTTTTTTATTTCTATAGGTGGTTTAACAACCATGTTAATCATTTCTGCCCCCATGTCCAGTTTCTTGTCTTCTGACACCTCCATCCTAAATTTTCTACTCAGCCTCTACCACTTCCACTGCATTCTATGGGTCAAGGCAAGTCACCAGCCCAGTCAATTCCAGGGGAAAGAATCCTTTGGAATCCTTTGGTATAAGGGAAAAGTGAGCAAGCAGAAGGGAAAAAAATTAATGGAATTACAATATCTGTGCAGAGAACATTCTAGAACAGGAACCCTAGGAAGTCTTTGCTGGGAATTGCAGTACAAATCTGGGAAAGATTACCTAATGAGTGCCTGGAGTTCTTCATCTCCTCAGTCTTAAAGGTTCTGTGGGCCCCTTGAAAGTATATGCAAATTGTTCCCAGTGTATGCTTTTTTATTCTGGAAGAAGGTGGGAATCTATACCATTCAAAACATCCTCAAAGGAGGCTATGTTCCCAAAAACGGTTAAGTAGCCCTCATCCCATAACTGATAGTGGCTTTACTAACACCCTATTGATGAGCCAGCCTGGAAATAAGCCCAGCACACAATTCTATGCTTCGAAAAATGAGAGCTGTTCCAACAAGCTCTGCCTCTGATTATGTTTCATTCTCTCCAGAAAGCTCTAAGTGTGGTTTCTGCAGGAAGGAACTTCAATTTTTAAGGTAAAGATCAAATATCAAGGTTAAACATGTTCTGAGAAACCTCTTTGTGGTGGAGACAAGCCAAGATCAAGACAACAACAGAAAGAAGAGAAGGAGATTTTGGGACATACAATGGAAATCAGGTGGCCCATGAACTGGCTCTGGGGCAGCTGCACCATAGAAAAGCTCTAAAATGCTTCCAGTGGATGGAATTTAAGGAAACACCTAAAAAGTCTTTTGACCCTGAATCTGTCTTATATTTCTCTCTGCAGCCACGGGACCCGCTGTGCAGGAGAAGTTTCTGCTGCAGCCAACAACAACATCTGTGGGGTGGGAGTGGCTTACAACTCCAAGGTCGCAGGTATGTTGTGGGTCAGTGCCGCACAGCAGGTGCCTGCGGAGCAGCCAGCCCCAGAGCCCTCATACTTGGGTATCCAGCCTGGCCAGGGCCCCACAGAAATTCCCAGTGGAGCAGAACTTAAATTAGTAGATTTAGGAAAAGTGAAAACTTTTTTTGAAAGTATCAATGGTGTGGGCCTCCCCGGTGGCGCAGCGGTTGAGCGCTGGGTTGCGAAGCTGCCCGCAGCCTCTGCGGCGCCGGTTCGATCCCCGGCTGCTCCCCGGCCACCAGAGGAGGGTCCCACATGGCGCGCAGACCTCTCCTGCCGCCCGCTGCTCCCCTCAGCAGTGTACTTCGGTCCTTCTGCCTGCTCTGCTCCCCGCTCTGGCTCTGGTGAATTCTCTCACCCTCCCGTGCTTCTGACTGTACCCAGTGCTTATATAAACAAAACAAATAAACAAATAAATAAATAAAATATTAAAAAAAAAAAGTATCATTGGTGTCTCAAGACGCCAGAGGATCCTTGGTGTCTGGCAGAAACAAATTTCAGGAAGCATCAGAATAAGCCAGCAAATATGTTTATTAGAAATCAACAGGCCAGAACGCTGTAAGAGGCTGTTTCAGAAAGCTGGAGAGCAAGCAGCAAGGAGGCCATGAAGTAGTGTTACCAGGCAGAATGAGGGCCACCCCCTGGATTCCCAAACCTGCATGCTATAAATGTGTTCTGCCATCCACTGCATAAAGACAAAACATACTCTAGTGCACAAGACCTTCGACAGAAAAGAACTTTAATACAATTAGTTGTAATGGAGAGAAGAGAAAGAATATAGTTAAAATAGTTTCCAATTAAACACCGAAAGTTACACATCCCCTCATGGGTAAATGCCCATGCCAAACAGGGTTTGCCCAAAGCAGGGCCACGGGTCTAAGGCACCTTCTGGTGGGGACCCGTAGATAAGGGGCAGAAGGGGCCAGGCAAGTCTAGAAGGAAAAGAACCAAATCAAAATACAAGCCAAGATAAAGACTGCCATAGTCAGCCTCCCCACGGGTCTCTCACCCACTTTCTGTTTCTTTCAAGTGTCTCCTTCCATGTCTCCCAAGTCCCTGGTGCAATTCCCAGGCAAGCACAGCTCCTTCTTCACACGTCTCTTTGCTCGACATGCCTCCTCCAGGTCTTTTGAAACTGAATCTAACCTGTCCTCTAGGTCTTCTTCCAAGCCTCCTTCTTCTTCCTAAGTCCTTCTGCTAGTCTCCTCTATCTTCTCTCTGCTCAGCAACACCCTTCCTTCTGTGGATATCAGTATGTTACAGTGGTAAGGTTATTTTAAGGACTTTTTTCTTTTGGGCATGGAGGGGTCCCTCTTAATCATGCATACCCTGCTCCCATTGTCTCAACTCCTGGATTAATTGGAACTAGCCCTCACTCCTTGTTTTCAAGTCAGGGGAAACTGTAGTTGAAAGACTCTTCATAGGCCTCCCAGACCTGCCAAGCCTTATCTGAAAAAAAGTGAGAGACTCAGCGGGCCTGTGGGTTGACAGAAATGCAGCTGCGCTCCTCTGGGGGAGAGTGTGAGGGCCCTTTTCTATCCCCAGCAATATCACTAAACATTTAAACTCTTTACTTGAGGGTAATAGAGAGAAAAGGGCACAGATAGTTAGCCATAGCTCAATGAATTTTTGCAAACTGATCGTACCCAGGAACCATCAAGAAAGAAAACATGGGCCTCCCTGGTGGTGCAGGGGTTAAAGTCTCAATGCTATCAAGCTATAGCCAGTCATTGCAGCATGAGTTCGATCCCTGCTAGGGAGCTACCCACATGGTACAACAGACCTCTCCTGTCTTGCCCACTGTTCCCCTCAGCAGTTTATTTCAGTAGCTCTCCCTGTTCTGCTCCCCACTCTGTCTCTGGTGAAACCTCTCACACCCCCCCCACCCCATAACCTAGTTCTTGTATGCATAAACAAATAAAAAAAGAAAGAAAATATTACCATCCCCCCGCAAAGCTCTTCTCATACCCCCTCTCAGTTACTACCCAGACACGAGAATAACCACCATCCTGACTTCTAACAGCAAAAAGTGATTATTGCCGATTTTAAACTTTATATAAATGGATCTGTACAGTCTGTACTCTTTTGTGTCAACATCAATTAGCATTTTAATGATATTCAAATAAAGACTGTACAATATAAGGAGGTGTGTACAAATTATCGAAAACATATTCAGAGCTGCTCAGAACATTTTAGGGTTTTTATATTGTGTGTGTGGTTTTTTGTGCACAATGCAGCTCATAATTAGGAAAAGTAGTCTACCTAGAACATTATTATTATGTTCCATAGGGAGGATATTTAACTCATTTCTCTTTCTGGAGGTTTTAGAAAGGAGAGTAGCGGGTCCCTGGAAATTTAGAAATCTACTCCTCCCTCAGAAAATAGAGGGAATAAGAGAATAAGAGGAGGGGTTCATACTGAGCTGCTTCTGGCTCATTCCACATTTTGCATCAAATTCTTTCTTAATTTATTCAGGCTGAGTCACCCAACCTTGTTTTTCTTTTTTTTACAATTGTCTTGATATTTTTTTCCTGGCGATTTAATGGAACCATAAACATACTTTGTGCTGACACTTGCATTTCCAGAGACCTAAATAAAGCAAAAGCAACTCATACAAACCTGCCATTAACCTCTCTCAACACTGTTTGCTAAGAGGCTTGCCTGTGCTGCCTGGGTACTGAATTTCACAAAAGAATAAATACATCTGGAGCTTCTGAAATGTAAATAGAGACACTTTGCCCCTGGAGTTTCAGCTCTCTTTACTTTGTGTGCATCCAAAATCTAGAAGCCATTATGAGCTCAAGGGAGAGTCTCATCAAGTTAATATTTCAGCAGCCAGGTTCATACCTCGGGTGGTATCAGACACAAGGTGGGGTCTCTATTCACAGAACAGAACTGAACCATTCAAACTTGGATTTCACATTCAAGAGAGAAGAGAAAGAATATAGTTAAAATAGTTTCCAATTAAACACCGAAAGTTACACATCCCCTCATGGGTAAATGCCCATGCCAAACAGGGTTTGCCCAAATCAGGGCCACGGGTCTAAGGCACCTTCTGGTGGGGACCCATAGATAAGGGGCAGAAGGGGCCAGTGATTTTCACAGTGATTTTCTCAAAATGGATGTGAAGATTCTGCATGCCAAAGTAACTATTTTTTCCAGCAGGGATTCTTAGGACTATTGCCTGTGAAAATTAAGTGTTAGTGTTGTAGAGCAACCCCGATACAAAACGGGGTGCCTGACTGTGGGTCCTCACCCGCGCGCTTAAAAGGACTTATCAATGCTCTACTGCAGGCACACACGAAAGGTTAATAAAAAAGGTTTATTTACAAGGGAAGGGGAAATGAGGAAATGTACAGCTCTGGGAGAAAAGTGGGAGACAAAGTTTTAAATGCGTCCTACCCGATCCGCCGATCAGGAATCCCAAAATGGCGCTCTCAGAGTTGGCCGCCAGCCAGGAGCGGTGAAGCCAGGAGGCGAGCGATCCGAGCCAGCCAGCCCAAGGCCCACGTGTTTGGTTTTTTATATCCAACCTGGCTGCCCAACTCCACCCTCAGGTCCCAGCCACCCTCCCTTGGTGGTGATGGGATTTGTCTTTCCCAGAGTCTTGATGGCTTTAGTCTGGAGTGGGGGTGGGGTCCACAAAGCCTGTATGGGATTAACTCAGGACATCATTTCCCCCTAACATTAGGAGTTTCTCGTGGTTTTCCAGAGGCCCACTGGGGGCCTTTCACCCTCTTCTGTATTTTTCTCTCTTATTAGTTGCACTCTGAAAATATCTGAGCTGCTCATCAAATATAATTAATTCTCCTGCTCTCTTTATTTGGAATCTTTAAAAGTGAAACCAGAGAAAACTTTTGGCTGCAAAGGAGTTTACTGGGAAGATGATCCTGGGAAGCCAGAGGAAGGGAAAGAGGAAGAAAGATACAAAGAAAGGGAAGACACAACGTGTGTGCAGATGAGATGGTGTTCTCACAGGGCTGAGGGACTATAGGGACTCCCCTGAGAATTTCTCCCTGTCCCCCCATGGCAAGGAAGCTGGGGAGCTGATAGACCAACTCCCATCCCTCATTAGTGGGGAGTGACTCCTGGGCCAAGAGCTGTCCAACCTGCCAGTCTCTAGGGTTGAGCAGATCCCTGAGGCAAAACACACCACCCCCTACCCACAAGGGCTGTCACTCAGAAGGTTAGCCTCAATGACCCCAGATCCCAAAAGTCAGTGAATGTAGCCTGATACCTCAAAGACACAACCCTTTTGCTTTGTGAAATCCTGGCAACAACACTTCAAGATTCCAGAAACTAAAACTAGCGCCAGTGGGAAGTATGTCCGACCACACAACGATTCTGAGCTAAGGAGTTTCCTTTCTCCCGTTTCTGCTCCCTTAACACTGGTTTTGCTCCTCTGTAGCCATTCATCTTGGTTCTAAGTATTCAAGGGACAAGAAGCTTTAGTCACGGTCTTGAGTCTTCAGTCCCCAGCTTTCAGCTTCCCCAGCGGGGCAAAAGGAATTCTTCATGAGGAATTCCTGGGGAGTTATACAAGAACTGCCTTGAAAGCAAACTTTCAGGTGCCTCAACCTCACACATTTAGGGGAAACATTTTGTTCTTTCTGCCTGAAAGTTTCGAAAGTTAGATGGGTTCCCCCCACCCCACCCCCATCCACCACCTCCCCACCTCCCCACCTTCCCATCTAATTATTCACTGAAAATGAGCTATGCCCTTCGAGAAAATCCTTCATTGCGGGAGCAGAGTTAAGGAAGTCTAGCGCGCCACCTGGTGACCATTTTTGGTCATTGCTAGTCTCTGGCAGTCCCAAGGTGTTGAGGTCCAGATTGGGAGGCGCTAAGTGATGTCCGAGCTCACTCTTGGGTCTCTTCATCCTAACTCCCAGAAAAAGGCTAAAATGCCATAAACTAGCCAAAAAGAGAAAGGAAAGTGGAGATGAGGGCATAAAATTGATCCTCTGAAGGA